ATCAGTATTTATTCAATTATGTACTCCACCTCCGAGATATGGGCCACATGCCAAAGCTAAGCAATTATAATTAGTTTTAGAAAAGTAGGAAAAGGCAAGAATTCATGAAGGTCAGAAAATACCTTTTGGGATTCCAAAAAATGATTTTGAAAGCACGAGCAGCTAGTTCAGTCAAATTAGTTAACTTTTATTTTCTTTATTGTTTATTCATTATTTTTTTCTCTTATTCATTTGCCTCCATGAGAAACCAAGTTAGTAGGCACGTCGAATTTTACCAATCAAGCACGTGAACTTTTAAACAGTACCCTGTCGCTAGAGCCAAAAGTGTATAATGGCAAATTAAAATTTCGTTAGAGTTTAAAACATCCTTTTGCAATTTTGCCTTTTGTAATTGAGTTTACTGATGAATTGAGCGTTTTCACTCACGTGGCCAGCATCTATGCAAATTTATTGGAACAAAAGAAAGCGTTTGCATAAGAAAAGAGTTCAACTCCCAGAGGTCTGGCTTGGGACACCAACATGGCCGCCGTTTGTTTGTTTTGGGACACCAATATGGCCGTCGTGACGTCATCTGAAAATACTTTATAGGATTCTTAGGATTCCCTATAAGTTATTGCTGTAGGTCTTTTTGTTCTTAAGGAAGTATAACTTTCTTTTAAGGTCTCTTCAAAGCGGCGCGGGACCTGAAGATGGAATGGGTTGTAATTAAAGGAGTTTCCGACTTCGCAGATGGCAAGAAGTCTGCCACAAATGCCTGGAGACCATTCGCAAGTGTTATGGCAGCTTCTGTAACTGCTCACATCCTCAGTGATCCCAATGCTTTCAAGAACTTGGATCATTACGGTGGTAAGTAAGTAGTAACAATGAACTAGTGTCGACATTGACACTATTAGAGGTCTTTTGCTAGAGGTGTGGTCCAGTTGAGGTCACAATTCTTTTCAGTCAGAGAAGATAAAAGAATCGGGAGAGCTAACGATAAGTTTTAGACTCCAGGATAAAACCTTTTAACACACATAAGTTCTCGACTCCATCTCGGAATCTTTATCAAGTTATGAAATTCGACGTCTTGTCACGTGATTTACAGCGTAAATCACGTGACAAATCGTACCGGTAGATCGCGGGGAGATCGTAACCGGCGTCCCCGTTCAATGTTGGAAGCTCTTCAATAGCTTATATCTGCGGTGCGGCCAATAAACCTTGCTAAAGACGCACTCCTGGGTAGAGTTTTTGTTGGGTTACCCTTTTTTCAAATGAAAATGTAAACAAAACCTTCTGTTCAATCTATTGCTCCTGGAGTTGCCAAGAGGAAGTCAGTTAGAGGAAATCTTCAAATTTAATTTTGTCTCAAAGGGTGGGATGTGACTTTCGTCTTGCTTTTCTCAAAAAGAAGAGAATGGAAAAGGCTTGAAAATACTGGTAATATCTTAAGAAATTATTATCATTTATATTATATTATTATTATTACTTGTATTTATTTTCAGGTAATTATTAGTTTAAAAGTTTGTTGTTTTTTAACAGCCACATCATCAGCAGAGGAGTCAAAAAGAAAGGCAGCAGAGGTCGGTGATCAGGCTGCCAAGCGACGCAAGGAGACTGGGGACAACTGAGTTGTGATTCCCTGTGAACCCAGTAAGTAACGTCTTATCTCACTACCCGGAACTCTATCTTACGCTGAACAGTACGGGGGGATCTGAGTATGAGTTTAGGCTCTGTCACAAGACAGTTTTGATACTGTTGATAGCTTCTGAAGGAAATTGAACATGAATATTTTTAGCCAATTGGAATACTTAACAATTATTTCTCGAACCCGAATGGGCGCTGAGTCAATAGGCCATTCGGCCTTCGGCCTCATGGGCTATTGACTCAGCGGCCACGAGGGCGAGAGGAATAATTGTCTTTGAAAATCCAACTAGTTGGTCGAAAATATCGAGACAAAACAACTTAAGCCGGCAAAATGCGATTCAGCCGCCACTGTTTTTGTTTTCAAAGCCGGCGCTTTTCGCTACTAGTGGGCGGTAACATATAGCCTAGTAGTAGCTCAACCAACCAGAACGCAGCATTGTTAATAGACCACTAGTTGGATTTTACTAAAATGTGTTACATATTGAGAAGCAGCTGTTGATTGCGGAGAGACAAGAAAAATAAAGCAAGTCTGCAGAAATGTCTCCGCATTTCACCATCTCGAGGTCTAGCCCAAAATCATATGACGTGTGCAGCGTGTACCTGGCGCTTCGTGAGGTCCAGTGAAGGTCCCATGACATGAAACGCCATCCCACACCCCGCACTCGCCAAGGACCCAGCAAATAGGGAACCACCGTGGGGGTCATTCTAGGGCCCTTGACCAAGACCACTATGGCCAGTGCCGCGTGACGAGAATTTGCCAAGATGATAAGGCTTTGCGCAGGCATATTGAGAGACATTGGCAGCATTTTTGTTCACTTCGAGTTTACTGATAACGCTAGTTTACTTATTAATAAGTAGTATTTAATTTAGTGATATTATTATTCAATCAAATCATTTCTCCGTTTCTCTTTGCTGCTCTGTTACCCCGGCTAATTCTTCATAACCAGCTAGCGCTGACCAAATTTGGAAAACGTTTACGATAAACAATGAAATGACATCGATAGTACAGGATATCAACAGAAAGAGGGACGGCTCTGGTATGATTTGAAGAATTATACAGATCTTTGCCGTTGGCTTAAGCGGATAACACCTTTCTGGATCTGCATAATTTTTAAAATCATACTCAGCCACTGCAATAATTACTAATTATTAGCATTTCTTTTCATATTCATCTACAGCACTTGCGTCTGTCAAGCCTTGTACACAACAAAGAGATTTCCCAGAAAACTTGTCAACCAGGAAGCAGTTATTTCTTAGTTCATAATGATGACATGTATTTTAGTCGTTAGCACGATTAATAAAATAAGCCTTGATTAAAGAAAAAAGAAGTAAAACTACCGCGTATGAGCATAGTGGCTGAAGAACCTAACAAAGATAGACGGACGTGAACATCAATGTGCTCCGTAAAGTCTTCCTTTTCCTCTTATTAATCGAATGTCTTTTCTTTAATCATTTTCCTGTTTTTCGTTTCTATCTTTCATCCAGCTTTTCTATATATTTATTATGCCTGAACCAATTGCAAACTTATAAGAAAGAAAATAATCAACTTAATACCCAATTTTATGCATTATTTTAGTCTCTCTTCTTAATCGTTTTTTACTTAAAATAATGCTTGTTTTTATGTTATTTTTTTCTATTTATGGGTATCGTAGTCTGCGTATTGTCCTCGTTGTTCTTTAGTCCACCTACTTTGTTCTTCAGTAGGCTATCTGCAGAATCAAAAAATTATGTAATAGTCATTTATAGTTGAGTTTCAATAAAATTTGTTGTCAGTGATACGTTGTTTCGTTGTTGAAAGGCGAAAGCGAGGGGAAGGGTGAGAACAAAGAGTGAGGGAGGAGAGAGACGCTATTTCTCTCGAATCTCACGTGGGCCCGGACGTTTTGCGCCTTGCAAATCCCCGATTTTGATAAAAATAACTTGTTGAGCAGTCTATCAATTGTATTACTGCTGAAGTCATCGTCACTAGTTTTTGTCCTTTCTTTAATTGATTTGATTGTTTAAATAAATTCTTGAGGCCAACTCTTGAACTGATAAAAAGTGTGTTGAAATGCCCTGTTTTCTCTTTCCATTTTGCTGATGAAGCGCCTCCGAAAAAAGCAGCAGCTCTGAAGGTATAGCCTCTACCAAAGACGAAACTAACCTTCTGGTTACGTTTATATTAACTAGGATAAGATAACGTCTGAGACGCAGGCTACTACGTCGTTAATCTACTACGAGTTTTAGCGGGAATGTCGTGGTGGTGGAAACAAGTTATCAAATGTTAGAATTTTATCATTTTGCCAACGTTTCTGGTAGAAAAAACAGTCCAATGAAGCTTGCGGGGGGTGTCTATATATTTTTTGAGAATACGCGAAAAAACCTAAGTCAAATCTCGTACTCATAGTCGTTCTCGTCCTCGAATCTAAACGTCTCTGACGTCTTCCTTACCTTTAACCAACTCTGCCATTCAATTTTCTTTCCTCCAATACCACCACCACCACCAACGCATCTTTAATCATCTTCCCTCCAAACAACACCAACGCCGCATTGCCCCCCCCCTCTCCGTCGTTTTCCCGGTGTACATGTTAACTCGCTCCCCACTTACCGTCGCGCTCTACTATCTGAACGCCTGGAACAGGCTGCATTCCTATTGTCTTTTCTCCCCCACCACCACCACATTTTTTTTTTCGTTTGTCCCAGGCTATCACTTATGAGCTTCCCTTTCTTCTGAACACATTTATATGACAGAAGCTTCAGCTGGTGTACCAAAAGAATGACTGCAAGTGTTTTATTTCAGCAAATGCTAGTACTTACAAATAAAAATAGAAGGCGCCACAGTTGGCTTTATTTTACTGCTCAATAGTCAAATGCCGGATTGGTGAGGTTTTTTCAAGATCGTACATGCGATCCGGATATTTTTTAATACGGAGTTTTCTTTTTCTCCGTTTTAGCCGTCCACACATAAATGGCGTTTTCGGGTACCAAAAACGCAAGTTATCAAAAACTACTAGCATTACGCAGCTCAGCAAGGGATGCTATCGTATTTTTATCGTTTTAGCGTTCTCATCTGGACAAGTGAAAACGAGCCAAAGCGCTATGAAAACGGAGGAATTGGATCTCCGGATAAGTGAGGACAGGGCCTTAGCCTTAAAATCATTAAAAATATATTTGTTTTTACGCTAACTGTTTGGATGCGAGTAATATTTAGCTAACACGAGGAGAAAAATCGAGTTTTTCGATAATTCCCACATCTACAAATAATATAAAGGTGCTTTCACTCTCGACTGGCATTAAAATTTTGTCTCCCGACTTCCGTCGGAAGTAGTCGATTTAAATCGTATTCTAGTCACGTCATATGGCGTGATGTTCATAAATATCTCTTAAGATATTTCTCGGAATAAACCCCTTAACCTCATTCCACCAGCTGGTAAGTCACTGTTAGCATAGTTGTTGAGATATCACGCACCACACCGACTCCACTTTTCGGAGACGATCAATAAAGGTACTGTATGCATGTGTATGGATGTATCAAAGGTGACTAGAGGTAAATGAGGCCGCAGTCTATATAACATCTATATGAATATAGATAACTGAATGGTGAAGTTTATCGGTCCTGATAACAGTTCACCAGCTCTTAAGGTGAGTGTTGTTTAATCAAGTTCCTGTTTTGAATCAGTTTAACAAAAACTCAGAATCCTTGCGGCTTTAAATGCTAGTATTCAATGCCGTCTCTTGATTTCTTCGTTTAGGGATCGAACTTGGTCAAACAGTTTTCTTTCTAATGTCGTGTTAACTTAATACTGGAAGACAAACCTTGGCCTTGGGTCAATGATTATGCTAACAACTGATGCTCTAGCTACGATAACGAAGACCTGAATAAAGTCATTAAATCAACTGTAGTAAAACAAATTAGCCACCGTTGTATGATTCAAACTAACCGCTGTATCTCCAATAATCTTTGCGGAAAAAAAAGCTTACGTTGCACTCTTATATGGTGTACTAGCAACAGGAAGCTATAATACATAACAACATTGCTGGCGATTTTTCGCTCACTACTCATTTCTACCGATCAAGCGTACTTGACCTTCGATGCAAAATGTTTTAAAAACTGACCACGGAGCGTTTTTGAAGCATCCTTGATTTTATAAATGTATGCGAATACATGTGGTAAATTCAGCGGAAAATGTTCACTATACGCTTGTGTAAGCATAAAGGCTTATGCAAAAATCAACTTTACTACAACAGACTAGACTCCAACCTACATTACCATACCGTAAAATTCCGAAAATAAGCCCTGGGGCTGATATTTTTGAAGGGCCCTTTTTCAGGGGCTTATTTATGGAAGGAAATTTGCGTTTCAAAATCGATTGGGCTAGCCTTATAGTTAGAAGGACATTTACCCGTTTTTGCTTTGTTTTACTTTGTATTTGAGGGCAATTTCCAAGTACAAGCCCCCGGGGGGCTTATATTTGGAGGCGCTTATACATGGAGGGGCTCATTTTCGGAATTTTACGGTACGTTGTCAGTGTTGCCTAGGATCGATAACACACCTGACCGGCAAAACCCTGGCTCTAAAAGTCCTTTATCGGATGAAATAAACCGTTCTCACGGGTTAAGGAAAGGGTGTAAAGTAATTTATAATAATAAAAATAATTTAAACATATTTATACAGAATTGCTGCATCAGTTTTAAGAAAAAACTGCTATCAATGCAGGTCCTGTAAAAATATAAAAATTAAAAACTAAAATTTAAAAAAAAGATTAAAAATAAATTTACATACCATAGATGTCAAAAAACACATCTGGCACCAAAAACTGAATCCGGCAAAGATTTTTATTGAGGTATTTGTCGCAGTCAAATCAATGCCGGACGGAAAGAGACAACATCGAACAAGAACTCTATAGACCTACCTCCTTATAGAGGCCTCGATAGGTAAAAGTGGATGTTGGAATCAAAATTGATGCAAAAAGACATTGGGATCTGAAAAAGAGGAAGGGAAAAGTAAGATGTGTACCATCCCCACCCCCAACCCCCCCCCTCCCTCACGCTTGGGATCCTTTTTGTTTACAATTATTCTGTCTTTATATTCCAAAGGCGAACAATAGCTAGGTGCAGCAGACGAAAGACTATGACAAAAAGACGACAGCCTAGTGATACGCAAAACTGTGGCCCACCCGAGATCGATTATACTAAACTACCTGCCGGGGGTCTGCTGAAAACAAGGGAACTGCCAGGCCCAACAGACGCGAAGCTTTGGAATGAAGTACTACTGACTGTACTTCCAGTTGATGTTTTGCTACTGACGGTGGAGGATTTGGAATTCTTGAGTTGCGTTTCTCATCTAAACCGGGGATACTTTCGGAGTAATCATGGCAACCTTGGAACGGTATACTTTGGGAAGATGGGTACGGGCCCAACCTTCTTGAAAATCGCTGTGATGAAATGTCATTCAGGCCCTCTGACTCCGGGAGGTGCCTTAATAACTGTGAAAAATGGTGTTGAAGTGTTAAGACCCAAAGCTGTCTTTTGTGTAGGGTTCTGCGGTGGCTTACGCAAAAAAAAAGTCAGCTTGGGAGATGTGGCAATTTTAGCGAAGCTGAGAACATACTCTTCTATAACAACAACGGACAATGGGATTCAAGAGCGTGGCCTTGCGGTTCCGTTGGAGAGGAATCTTTTGAACCTCATTAAAAACGCTGATGATGGCTGGAAGGCGCCGCTAAAAGATTCCTCGGAGGTAAAAGTGTGGAAAGATGGCGTGTATTTGAGCGGACCCGAGAAGGTAGAAAGTGAAGGAAGACGCGAGGAACTCGTGAAACGATTCCCGGATGCGATTGCTATAGAAATGGAAGGGCAAGGTGAGAGTCTGGCAAAAGTTCAGCAGCGGGACTGTTCAGTTTTCCTAGAAAACTCTCCTTCGGGAAAAGAGAAGAGTTAACCCCTAGTACCCCTCTGAATTATGTGTGGATTCCTGATCCACCCGGTTCAGACTGTCCCCGGTTCATTACTCCTGATAATGTTCCAAGGCAATAAATAGACCGAGTATCTGGCCTTCCTTTGAGGTTAGGGGAGAGGGAATTTTAAAGTACGGGGAGGGAAAATAGAGGGTGAACTGTCGTGAACTGTCTCCTTGCTTCCCTTTCCCCTCCCCCATAAACGCCTGATACCCAAACTAGGGCAAAATAGGCAATTTTGAGGCCTGAAATAGGAACCCACTGCTCCCTTGGCAAACAGTTCTTCAACTTTGATCTGGAATGACATTTCCTGCTGTACAGAATATGCAAAGAGACAAAGAGGTGGTTTTTTGATTGCCTCAAGCCAATATTCAAATTTAGCCTAAAGGTTAGTGCGACATAGGCCACAAGTCTACACTAGAACAAACTTAGACCAAAAAAGCTAGAAGAAGAAACTTTTAAGAACTCTGAGAAAATAACAGCTGTTACCCGGGTACTTATGAACCGGGTTTAGTTTTTTTTAACCGGTCTTATCTACAATGTCTATTGCAGGTCTGTTCTTAGCCGCACACGACTTGAAGGTCGAATGGATTGTTATCAAAGGAGTCTCTAACTTTGCTGATGGCAAGGAAACTGAGCCTTGGAAAAAATTTGCGAGTGTAATGGCAGCTTCACTGACTGCACACATTCTAAGTAATCCAATTGTTTTTGAAAACTGGCCTCATTATAACGGTAAGTATGCTGCAGCCTAGTCCTCAGTCCAGTTCGCGCTATCCGAGTGAGCGGAGAGGGCTTGGAGAAAAGAAGGAGAAGAAATAAGGAAAAAAAAAATGAAAAAAAGCAAAAATCAGCAAAGAAGAAAAACGGGGGCAATTTTGGTTAAAGATCTTGGCAAAACAAGGACTTACTCGTGACATGTGCCTAAGTTCTATGAACTTGCCAAGGGAATAAAGCGGGCGAGACAATTACACTTTTAGTATTCCAATTCCACTAATCCAACGGGTCAAATCTTGATTTCAGGTGACTGAAGGCCGGCTTGTGGAGATCATGAATTAAAAAATGAGGTGAAACGATTTTATCTCAGTTCACTCAATTCATAGGCTAAGAAAAAAGCATTTTTTAAAGCAAAGTTAGATTTGTTATTTCCGAGTTCTGTAATTATTTCTTCAGTTAGTATATTTTGGGGGCAATTTGTTTACTCTAAGCGACGTTCTGACAGCGGCAGCTAGCCTGCACCCTGCCAAAAGCGGAGTAGTTATCATTTTGGGTTTACCTAATGATATTGTTGGCACGTAGATTTTTCAATGGGCAAATTAGAAATATTCCTTGTATTAACCTTTCCTTTTTTCATTTATCTACAGCGTGTGGAAAGTGCCCGTGGTGGATCAGACTTTTTGGCAAAAGTAGGAGCTGGTGTACCCGCCGATGTCAAGTGAAATTGGTGTTAATCCGTTGCAAATATATCTTTGTTTCAATTATTTCACAAGTTAAATTCTGATTGAAAGTAAAGTTTTAGTTTTGAAAATGACAATCGTCTACTCATATTTGCGTTTGTATGCTCTTACACGCCCCTCCATGTTAAATTCATCGACTGCACATTGACAGAATGAAGCTGTTGCAAATTGAGGGAATTACTGGGAGCAACTAGCATGTCATCATAAAAAAAAATAATTAGGCAATAGTCATCCAATTTTGTGCAAAATAATAGCTCTTGTCTTTCTCGTTCGAAAAAGAAGGGCTCTTGAAATGGTGGAGCTACCTCTTTAAGGCCACGTCCACACGAAACCGGACATGTTTGAAACCGCATCACGGATTCATGTGGACAGGCTCGTTAAAGCGGTCTACCGTCAAGTCGCCCGAAAGTCATCACGCCCGAAGTTATGTCGTCGCAAATGTTTAGGTCTAGTCGCCCGAAATGCTGATTTATGTGGCTCCAAATTTTATAACACTTAATAACACATGACCCTTTATCTAACAAAAATTAACTTTGTTTCTCTGTGCACTTCACCTAAAAGATTCAGGCGACATGACTCAGCATTTCAGGCGACTTAACTCTGGTTTCGGGCGAGATGACTTTCGGGCGACCTGACCGGTTACCGTTAAACCCCTCCCGAGAGCAGTTTCAAGACAACGCTGAGCAGATTCACTGGATTCGTGTGAACGGAAGGTCGATTCGTGTAAAAAGGTAGGCGGTTTCGTGTGGACGTAACCTTTTAAATTCAATTATTCTCGTCTTTGAAATGTTAAAATAACCTTCGGACGGATAGTTTTTTTTTAACGGACAACAAACAACCATTACGGTTTCCCTTGCCCTCACAAAGCAATATATAGCTGATTTAATAAAGGTTGCTTTGGGCATTGGTATTTGGGCACTGGGAATCTGTTGTTTTGTCGTCACTCAAGCAAATGACTGCATTGTTCTGTATGCCCAATTGCCAAAGCAACCTTTATTGATTTAGGTTTTTAAACATGTCTCTGGGTGACCCTCCTTTCGCATAGAAAAAAAAACGCGCGTACACGCGCGAAATCGCGACGAGGAAGACACAACACACAACCAATCAGATTTCTGCTATTTTTGCATTCGATTGCATCACAAGTCGTAAACTAAAGTCCGCCATCTTTGATTTCGGTTCCTTGTTTTCTGCAAGGTTACATTTGTACAACCCTTAGTAACCAGTAATCGTTTGTCGTGGAATGGGTGTCTTCAACGTTCAAGAACATTTACGACATCGCCGAAATCGGGAAAGCGAAGAATCGTACGGGACAGAACTGTAAGTATCGTAGAATGTTTTGTTTTGGTATTTTGCGCGGTTAAATAATTTATTTACTGTAAAAACCGGTAAAATTTGTAAGTTTAAGTTCCCTATTTCATCTTTGATTTTCTATCAACAGCTATAAATAAGCTGATGACAATGCTGCTTGATTTGCGAATTAAACCAACTAGCCAAGTGTGATGTCCTTAGCTTGTTTATAAATGAGACTCAAAGTAAGATTCCCCGTTTTTCTTATTTCGATTAGCTAGCTGGTTATGTAATTCGCGTTCGAGTGGTAAAACCATATGATGTATTCCACGATCTCGATTGATGATATTATGATTGGGCAGAGCACGATAAAACATTGGTGTTAAAACCAATTTACCAACGAAGATTCCCTCGTCCAGCCAGTGAGCTTTGACCGGCGCCCGGTAAATCCAAAAGCCGGTCTGCTGAGCAGGAAGTCGTCGAGAGGTCAAACTCCGAGAGGAACATCAAATTGGGCTCTTTGGAAAACTCATAATGCTTCTAATGCTTGCTGTTTATATTGCGTTACAAGGGCCAAGTTGTTTTTTTTTCTCACTTAGCCCATAGGTTGTTTTTGCAGTCGTCGTTGCTCTTACTCAAGGCCATTTTTTTCCTCCTCAGGGGCTGGGAGGAGGATTTTGTTGAGCCTCCAGACGCACCGCAGCCCCAACAAGAAGCAGCTCAAAGGCGCACTATCCGTCAGCGTTCACAGAAAAATAAAATACATCATTTTAACACGAAATTCCCGGCAAGGAAGGTTAAAACTGGAAGCAGGCAGATGAGAAGACATGAAAACAGTTAGTATTTTTATTGTTTTGGAGATGCACATGAAAAATAGATTATCTGTGGATTATTTTTATTCGAAGATAATAGTTGAAGAAATAAAATTATCTGCCCTTGTTCATTTTCATTCTGTAATATCTTTGGCTTTGGTAGTAAACAGTGAGTATGAAACAAAGGGGCTGCCCACTTGGTTGGGATCCTGGGAACTAGTGCCTTGGAACTGGCACAGTGTGGTGTTTTGTTTACATCTTGAGTACCTGATATGAAACTGTCCACATAGTTACTCCCTTTCACGCTGTCAGATGCAACTTGGAAACTTGAGCTTTGTAGGGAGTAGGAAGCAGTGGTTTGCATTATAACTAACAACACTGGTGTGCACACAGGGCCCGGGGGGGGGCACTGCCAAATATGGGCTATATAGGTATGTGCCGCTGTGAAGGGTATGGTTTTCAAGCAGTTTACTCTAGGATAGGGTATATAAATCAGACCGTTTGGGTCTAGAATAGATTATTATTTTTCAGGAAACTAATCAGTTGGTTGAAGATTTTATCTAGACTAGGGAAACAGCTACTCTAGGATAGGGGGGATTTGGGAGTTTACTCTAGTATAGGGTAGCAAAATTCAGCTGAACTAGCTCTGGTACAGGTTAAGGGTTCCAGGGTCCCAGCGGCACATCCCCACCCAGAAATTCCTAAGGTACCCCCCCCCCGGGACACAGGGACCCGATGCCCACTGTTGTGCCTGGGTACAAGGTCTCGACCTTAAACTCAGGCACCCCGGCACGGTTACCTTATTGCAGCATGGGTAGTTGAAAAAAACATGTGTTCACATTAACATTAGTACCATATGAGTACCACACTCGGGTACCTTTCCAAGTGTGAACGCTGTCAAAAAAATTGTTAAGATACTATCCACAAACTTGGGTACTTTGGAGAACAAAACAATCCCAATTCAAAGTTGGGGTGTTTCTGGCAGGTAGCTCATACAGCAGAACAACATTGCTTAGATGGGGTGGGGAAGAAAAGCTTCATTTTCCCTTTTGAAATTGGCAACATGCCAAAAAAGCCCTTTGAGGCACAGTGACTCTACTTTTTGTTGCCAATTGAAGGATTAAGAGAACCACAAAATATTACAGTCTTTTTCAGGAATGCTAAAACCAGTGAACAGGCTGATCAATGTACCAGCTTAGAATATGCAATGTCTGTTTTTAGCCTGTTTCCTTCTGAGTCTTGTCGATCATGAGGAAATTGATGAACTTGACATCAGTGACTTGGTTAACAACAACACAAGTGTGTTTGCCTCACTTTTAACAAATGCAGAAAAAATGAAGGTATGCTGTTTGATGCATTTTTTCCTGGGAGAAAGGGAAACTTTCTTATATGGCCTGTATGCAACTGGACATGACATGCATACTTTTTGGCCCATCCCACACTAGGAAAAACTGTTATTACAGTGAAAAATACCACATGTTCCAAAGAAAATGTTACTTTTTAACAAAACAAGAGTCCATCTATTTTGTCCCTTGTCCCACAAAGGCTTCTAATTTAGCATAATGCACTTTTCTTTTTTGTCCTAAGCAAAAGCAAGGTCGTGATTCTTAGCCCACAGTGGCAACCCTATCCCTCAACATAAGTTTAGTACCCCTGGGTTGATTGTAAATGCTCCAGATCTAACTTCCTTCTATAATTCCTTGTATTTTAAGATATGGAATGAATTTGTGAGCCTGTCTGAGGAAGAACAAGATCTTGTCATTACAAGAAGAACATCATCTCCTCAAGAGAAGGAAATCAACCGAGAAAGTACTGAGGAAGAACTTGTCTTGACAGAAAGAGGTTGGTCGAAAATTAATGTTGTTAAGTATATTTTGTCTTTTCCACAATAAAACTGTGCAGTTTATACAATTTCTCAGGGGGAGTAACTAAATGAAATTGAAAAAAGTTGTTTCTCTTTACAAGTAGATTAAGTTAGATTTGTTTAAGTTCAATACAGTTTGTAGCCCAAAAAGTTAGCCACCGCTTGTTGTTTAATTGTGTAATTATGATAATATTTTTAATTTTGATAATATTTTGTTCTAATAATCTAACTGAGGGAGCCCATTCCTTATAAGCCCGGTGGCTTCCCTTGGGCTTCCTTGCCATTAGCGTTTTCAATAATTAGATTTTTTTGCTTTTGTACATCTTATGGCAAAACATTAAACTGAACTGAACTGTGCTTGTTTGTTATTCAAACATAGTATGTCAGACAGGCCCAGTCTAAGACTAAAAATCTAGCACTAGGGCTGTCAATAAGGTTCAATTTCACGGTGCAAAGAAAGTCAGTTTTACAACCTGCCATTCAAGCAAGCTGTAGCTAGCATGTGCTAGCCCACAAACCCTTTTTGGATTAACGGGATTGATTACAATCCTTCTGTAATTTGAATTTCCCCCAAAAAAAGCACTTGCCCATCGGGCAACTTAAGAACAAAAATTAATCACTAGCCTGATAGCAAAATCCACTAGCCTCAGGCTATCGGACACGACTTTCTTTGCACGCTGAAGTTCCTAGGTCAATGTAACAATTATTGTTTGGCAGGCAACTGAACAGCTACAGCTTTGAACAGCTTCTTCGTGTTCAGCTTTCCTTTTGTTTCTCCTCAAAGTAGCTGCGGGTCGTGCTTATCACAGCCAGGGGAAATCCTTGTCCCTTAGCCCTTAGGGACAGCCCTGCAGCACTCTGACCACTTGTAAAATAGAGTATCACTTCATAAAATACATGTCCCTTGGGAACAGGGCCTTCGCTTATGTTGGCCTTTCACCATGCAACACTCTTCCTTCAGCTATCAGGAGTATCCATAGTGTTCAGGGCTTAAAGAAGGCTCTAAAGACTCTCTTATTTTGTTTGGCATTTGCCCAGTGAACTATGCTTTTTGACAGTAATTGAAGTATTTTATTTTTACAGTCTTTTCTCTTGTTGTACTGTTTGTCAGTTTCTTATAAGGGCTTTAGAATATGAATATACTTTTAGTGCTATGTAAATAAAATGTCTTATCTTATTTCAATTTGCTGTGTCTGTAGATGCTGTGGTAACTGCAGAAAGGTCTTTCAACAAAATTGAAGGACGAATCAGGGGAACACTTCTAAACAAGCGATTTTCAATGGTATGTTTTACTTTCAAGTTAGTAGATATTCTTTTCTATTGATAAGCAATAAGTATGTCTTGACCAACACATTTCCAAATCAGTCATATTGAAGATTCAAGACACATGGTTGTGCATTGTTTTTTAATCACGTGAAAAACTCCTTTTCACATTAAATTTATCTCCACATAACATAAATGACCAGTAATCTTGGACAAATTTAGAACCAAATTTTATCAGATCATTTTTCGAGGACCTCTTATCGAAAACTCTGTTATGTCAGCGATTCTTCTTGTTTTCTTTTTGGGCCATATTTAAAATGTGTTAGTTAGTATAGAGATGTACCACTCATTCATTTCTCCTCTCATTTTTTACAGTTTGCATTTTTTACCTTTAATACAGGGTGGTCCAAGTATATAGATGGGTGTGTTAAGAATAGAGATTTATTATATAAACACCAATGAAATATCAGGTGAGCTTTTGTGAGAAAACTTGACATCTTCACATGTGAAAATATCACCGTTGCTATGGCTTCATAATAAATCACTCCTTTCGCACCAAAAAACTATTAAAGTAAAATGGTTTGGTAGTTCATTGGTGTTTATATAATAAATAGAACATTACATGGCCGCTTGGAGATACGAAATTTCTCTTCTCGTGTTAAAAAAATATTTCACTCGTTTCAACACTCGAGAAATTTTGTATCTCTGCGCAGCCATGTAATATCCTCTATGTATCACTCATTCATTTCTATAATTTTTCCTTTTTTTTTTACATTTTGCTTGTTTTTTTTTTGATCCTCTAATACAGGGTGGGCTGAAGCACCATGAAGAGGAAGTGGTTTCCTACTTTTCTGATGACCCCAGTTCCGTCATGATCACAAACATACCATCCAGGTGTGTTCATAGCTAAATACTGGTGCTATGCTCATTTTGGCTTGTATTTTTGTTGAAAGTAATGCTAATTATTTTTCTTTCACCATGTTGCAGTTTTGACAGATTGTTGGTTCATGGTGTTTGCCAGTTCCTTGATTTAAAATCCAGCAGTAAGTTATAGCATTTTAGAACCTGATCATATCATCCCAGTGAGAGTGATACAAGGCTGTTACAGCTGGCTCTCTAGTACAGAGTTTTTTTGGGAGTGGCAAAGCCATGAGACAAAACTCACTGACCCGAAGAAGAGTCTCTCGTTTCTAATCTACCCACCAGCTTACATTAAACTCATTTGGTGGGAAGCCAGCCTGAATAGTGAAACATGGAATTCCTACAAAGAGTGTGCTCACAGCCTTTTGTGATACAGAAGAATGCTTGCTATAAGTGCTTTTGCAGTGTCGTGTGGCAAAAAAATAGCATTCATTGTGTGAGAAGTTGGTTTTCTTCAACATCATGCTATTGCCAAAGAAAGAAAATTCAAACCTGTTTGTGCATTATTATGATAATAATAATTACCATCTAACTTAGATTCCTTGTTAAATTTTACTTTTCTCTTGTCAAATTTACCCTTCTTTGTTGCCAGATAGTAACATCAAGTCTTAGTTGTTGGACCCTAAGTAGTTCACTATGTGTGGCATTGCATGGCCTTATTAATATTTTTATCAAGCTACTTATTTTTCCTAGAGTGATCCAAGTGCTTTCGAACGTTTAGCTCATTATGAAGGTAAGTGATAAAAATTTATACTAGTGCCACTGTAAGGCCAAAAGCGATCTGGCGAATAGCGCCATCTGACTTTCTTCGTATATTTCTTCCTTTCATTTATTGGTTCATTAGTTGATCGTGTTCTATGCTATTAGATGTCCTAATTACACTTTACAATTCTTTTGTCCAACCTTTGACTACTCGGTGACGTCGTTGGGGACAAATAAGATTTCACCTCCACTGTCCCACACTTCTTAGGCGAAGTTCTTGTTCCACCATCTACGTGTATGGAAAGTGATTTAGTGAAGAGATTTTTGTTTAGTAATCCTCTTTTCTAAATATAGATGATATTGAAAACTTCTGTGATCAAGTCAACTCATGCCGAGAGGATTATAAAAGGGTGGGATAAAACCTTCGACAAACTGTGTTGATTTCCATTTTTTTTTTTTTACACGCTGCTTTCTTAACAGGGGAGTCATCAGAAGAAGGATTGAAAAGAAAGGCAGAGGACAGTGATCAGGCTGCTAAGCGACACAAGTAGACTATGGACCCAGTAAGTGATCGATGATTATCTTTTGGTTATGCCTTATCTCGTACCTAGGTCTCGCTCTGTCTGCTGAATAGTGGGAGATGTATAGGTCTTGTGCTAATACTCTAGGAAAAAGGTTCTTACAAATTTCGTCTTCACGTGCATATGTACGCATGATGAATGGAGAGACAAAGGGAGAATTCCCGAGAGTACATAAAGTGCCCTGCATTGGGAAAACAAACGATCTAAAGAGGTCTATTCTGAACATGATTTAATTTTTATCACCTAAACAAAAGGCCTTTTTTCGAACGGCAGTTGTTGATCGCTTGGGAGACAAGAAAAATAAACAAAGTCAGCAGGAATGACTCCGCATTTCACCATCTTGTTGGTAACCCTCTCGCTTCCCCTGAGAGGCCTCTTTGTGTCCTAGAGAGGCTATGAAGAAGGAAAAAGAAAATTGTTATTTTTAGTGGGATACCCAAGGAGGGGGGGGGGGGGAGAATCTGTGGAGGAGAGATTTGGTAATCCTTATCTACTCAGGCGTGGACTTAGCGCTTTGTCAGGTCCAGTAAAGGGCAGATAATACGCCATCCTGTACGCCACATGACAGACATGCCTCGCTGATGAGTCCTACCTGAGGCGGAACCCAGGGGGGCTCAACTAATGCTGGAGTCATTATCATCCCCATAAGCACGATCCTATTAGCCTCGGAGGCAGACGGGTTTTTTGGTGTGTTTTTCGTTCGTTTTTCATTAAGTAACCATTCAAACGAGAAAACGATGGGGAAGGGGGCGAGAGAAAAACGCCCAGTCGGTTTTCTCGGCTTACCTATGTTTAACTTTCCCACGGCATTGTCCCTTTCTTTACGAACCACAAACTAAGCATACACCAATAAACTGCCTGCTTAGCACTCAGCGATCCTTTTGGCCAGCGCCACCTGCGGCCATAATGTGTAGCTGGATAAGAGCTTTCCGTAGGCATATGGAGAAAACTTCGCATTCACTATAATAAAATCACTTCCTTTTTGCTGATAACGCTGGTTTTCTTTAAGTTGTATTTTATCGTTAAAGTTATTGACATTTTTTTTTTACTTATCCACAGCATTTGCGTTACGTCGAGACTTCCACACAAGAGCAGTCCGTAGAAATGGTGTCAAGCAGGAAGCATTGATTTTTTAGTTCTTGAAAAGTTGTGTTTTAGGTCATAGGCGATTGAATAAAATAAGGCGGGCCCTAATTAAAGCAAAAAATTGTCAATTTCTTAGAACTGACAGTTTTCAATCTGCTTTCAAATAAAAGCCTTTTTGCTTTTGAAAACGTCATCCAATGAAATTTTTTTTTGGCTCTTAGGGACCGATCATTATTTATCGCCTTTGGCGAGGGGGAGGATTTTAGGGGGGATCAATTGATTTTTGGGAGAACAAAAGCGGGGATCAGCCGTAACTGAGAACCCAAAAGGAGGGATCGCTGAAAACTTTGGAAGGATTCAGAGGGGGGACCACTCAAATTTGCTTGGAATATGAACAATAGGGGGGGAGGGGGAATCGCGAAAGTCATCAAAAGTCATTAGGGGGATTACTTCAGTGAAGTAACATTTAAAGGGGGGACCGGCTAAATTTCACCTTGATCCTTAATAATTGTGCAAGTCCTTAAATAACTACTCGTTTAAGTATGGACTAAATAAACTAAACAATGTTAAATCTTATAAATATCTGGGAATGACACTGAATCTGTATGGAAATTTTAGTTTAGCTAGAGAAGAGTTAAAAAAAGTTGGGCTTAAGGCACTTTATAAACTAAGAAAAGAGATGGGTGACAACTTTAGAGAAAATATTATGCTGACGATTAAGCTATTCGATGCTCTGATATCCCCCATACTTCTCTACGGAAGTGAAATTTGGGGTGTTGACTGTAACGACCAAATAGAAAAAGATCCCGCAGAATTAGTTCTCGAAATGGTTGCTAGGTGTAAATAAATACTGTAGCAACAATGCATGTAGGCTGAAACAGGAAAATTCCCAATAAAAATCGAAGCACAATATAGGAATTTTAAGTTTTAGCTAACTCTAACCAAACACCCAAAACACAAATTATCACAGGTGGTTTACAATGATATGAGGTCGAGGATGTATAAGGAATTATGGAGCCAAAAAATCAAACGCATATTAGACCAAATAGGGCTGTGATACCTCTGGACAAAAGCACATGAAAATGACATAGGAATCTTGAACATTATCAAACAAAGACTGAAAGACATCGAATTACAAAGATGGCTAAGTGACGTAAGAAAAAACGCCAACCGAAAGAACAAACTAAGAACCGGGCCACCACCCCCCCCCCCCCCCGGCTCCCCCCCACCAACATCCGACACCGGTAACTCTAACTAAACTCCGTCTAAGTAGTCAAAAATTGGCGATAGAGACAGGTCGGTATTTAAGACCTTATAAGAAACCGAAGAGAGGATCTGTCCTATCTGTAAAAAAGACGTAGAAGATGAAATGCACTTTTTAACTCTGTGCCCTGCGTATCAAGAAAAAAGACGTACTTTATTTGAATACTTAAACAACGAATACAGAATATCAGTAAACAGAATGGCACCAGATGATGTTTTTCTGTTGTTAATAAACACTCCGAGCAAGAACAAACCAGTGCAAAAGTTAATTGCAAAATACGTATTCGACTGATATGAGAAAAGAAGATCATTAGTTGTTTAGGTTAACATTGATTATAGTTCCACTGGTGCGCAATTTGTGTTATGATTTTAAATTATTTGGATAACGTCGATGTACATAGGACTGTATAAGACTCCAAATAAAGCATTGTCTTGTCCTGTTTTGTTTAACCCCAAATCTAACGAAAGGAAAAACGTAAAAAACGAAAGGAAAAATACATGCTAACGACAACTTTAAATAGCGACTGGTAGGTTGTACATGTATAATAGCGGAGCCTCCGCGCGCGAAGCGAGCGCAACGGAACACCATAGGTAATAAAATTTCGTAAACTACCCATCCGCGAAAATGTTTTTATGACGCCACCATACGTCCGTCCGTACGTCTATACGGACTTTCCGGGTAGGGGTAAGTAGAAACGAATTCCTCCCCTCTCCCCTAGAGAGTTTTGTCTCCTGTTGTTTCAAAAGCCTATAGAAATGATTGACCATCAGAATCTGTCAACTGACAGAATCCGTCAAGCTGTTTATCCTTCCACTCCAGCTTAATCCGGTTTTCTACGTACATCATACCAGGCGGTAGAATCTGAAGAATAGGAAATTTAGATGACTCCATGCAACTCTATTAACCTTCTTGTTATAGCTCCCCTTGTGACATTGAGTTTTGATTTGCATTTGATAAGCACTCTTACGACATTGGATTATGACCCTGATTTTGTCACAAGTGAAAGCCAGCCTTTGAAAGGATTTGATCGGATTGCACTCAGTTGTCTCCATTGCCCAGTTACAAAGCTTATGAGGCTGGAAGGTTTATGTTACGTATGTTGGAATACACATTCAAGGCTCATTGTGTGCTCTAAGGAAAATTGAAGGAAGCTCATTGCTCTGGAACTGTAAAATCTAGGGTGCCCAGCATATGATCTTACGAAAAAACTAAGATTTCCTAGTCGCCAGGAGCAAACGTTAGGCGCCAGGGGCCACCGGGCTCTGCTAAAGCACAGCCCTGCACATTGTCATGATACATAATGTACATAGTTTACAGATATACTTCTTTGTTTTTGGCTAAAAAAGAGTATCGTAACTTGTTTAGCGCTAAATAAATCTTTGACAGCTATAAGTTACTAATAATTTCATTATTTGACTGTAATTAAGGGAAGAAAAAAAGACCCGTCTACTACTGAAATGGCGCGACGTTGAGCTGAATCGGCTACTTTTTGAGGGGTAG